ACGCTTTAACATCGAACACGCGTTGCAACATCTTTTTCAACAAATTTTTAATCTTATCATAATGTACGTGAAGTGCAGGTGCACCGACAACGTGCAAATATGTACCAAGTCGTCTTATTCTATCACCACAGCATGAATATAATGAGAAAAAGTATTATTGTTTTTAGATATTTCGCTTAATTGTGTGGTTAAGTTAACTAGACTATTTCCGGGGAGCCCGTATGGAGGTAACTGTCTGTTTGAGTTCCTGGTTTCTCTGCATCGCCGATGTAGCGCTACAGAATACGCCCCTTGCTGTCAGCAGCTCAGTTATTTTGAACACATCTGCGCTATTTGCATACCATCCATACGGACCCATCAGCACAACGATACATCTTCATGCCTCGCGTGCATATCATGTGAAAATGAAGACTAATATAGTTTACCTTTTTCAAACATGATCCTTAGTCGAGTTTTTCACATGTGAAATAAGCCTTTATGTGATAATAGAGTTAGCGCTAGTTTTCACAATAGTGCAAACTAATATAAAATAAAAACAATAAAATGTTCTAGCTCATACTTATCATTTTCACCATAACAATAAATATAAAGTAGAGATTACATTTACTTTCAGTTTAGAATTTTATAACTTAATCGGACTGTAAACCAGTGAAATCGCGAATGTTATATTTTTGCACATGTCACTAGTGTAATAAACTCTGGATAATGTTTCGTTGGTCATGTGATATTTAGAGTTAATTTAGGAAATATACAGCTTGTATGTTGATGCTCGTTAGTTCACTTGGTATTTTCGTTTTTGTTATTTCCCCCCTTTTACATCGTGGGCGATTTCGACGATGCAGAAGACGCTATCCCTTCCAGAACACCTGCATGTTTTCACCTATTTATTTTCAAAACTATTCATGGTAACCTTCCCTATCTAAATATCTTGTTCCGGTTTCACCACATTAGAGTTCGATTTTAGATTCTGATGGCATGGTGGGTGTTTAGGTCACCAAGAAATTAAATACAATGATTATATTTCTCAATCGAACTAATAACGCATCGTACTGGCCTGTTCGTGATAATTCATTAATTTCTTAAGTATGATTTTATCGAAGAATGTTTGTCAAGGTTTATTTTCGTGTATATGGTGTGAAGCGTTCAATATCTGCACATACATAAATTCATATTGAGGTTAGTATTGAGTTCTTACAATGTAGGGATTTACCTATCAAATGTTCCAAAATAGAGTACTCAAACTGCAGGGGTTTTATTTATCAAAATTTACATAGCAGAATACTTACAATGTAAGGGTTACATTTATCAAATGTTACATAGTAAAGTACGTACAATGTTAGGGTTTTATTTACCAAATCTTTTACAGCAGAGTGCTTACAATATAGGGGTTTCATTTACCAAATGTTGCATATTAGAGTGCTTACAATGTAAGGGTTTTATCTATCAAATGTTACATAGCATAGCATTTACAATATAAAGGTTACATTTATCAAATATTACATAGTAGAATATTTACAATTTAAGGGTTGCATTTATCAAATGTTACATGGTAGAGTACTTACAATGTAGGTGTTATATTTATCAAATGCTACATACTTCAGCACTTACAACATATATTACGCTTATATAATGATATGTATATGCAATATTTATATTGCAGAGGATATCGAGTAATAGCAATAAGTGTGCTTGTGGTCTAGTTGTATGCTTTTATAAATTGTCCTATTTGAGGAAATTGGAAGATTAACCATTCTTAATTCAATGACATTGCATTATGGATTGGCACTTAGGATAATGAATGTTTTGGTGTCCTGTCTGTCTCCAGACATCCTTACAGTGAATATGGATATGTGGGGAAGATGGTTATAGCCTTACCTTGTGCCAGCTGGTCGTCATCAGTGCAATACATTTTACAAATCACAAACAACTGAACAATTTGTGGTAAGAATTGAATATATAACAAGTGTGTATCAGCCGTCTCACTTTAACAACAGATGTGATCAATATACTTAGTTACCGGACGCATAAACGTGTCTCAATAAAGTCTTTTCTGTTCAGTTAAATCTAGCAAACAAGATATAAGACGAACACTGGTGGATGTTTAATACGTATTGATATACATAAGCTTGACTCGGCTTTTCATAAAATGTTAACAATATTTATTTGCTGTCGCTACTGATTCTGGCGACATAAGGTCATTTGTATGGGGCCTGGTTAACGGTTAATATTTAACATTACTTAATGGTTAAATCATTGCCATGGTAGACGATTATATAGAGATATTTCTCATTCGTACCACTTTGTTTAATTACGGGTCTTCTTATCAGTTACTTGAGTAAATATCCCCAACAGTTGGTGATAGAATACACTAATGCAATATATCAGGTGACGAAACAAGTGTTATAATAACAATAATAATAAATTTATTCAGGATAAAGATGTACAGATTTGTATACAAAACCTGAATATATAACACATATAACATCTTATACATAATCATGAATAAGTTGTTTGCTACATCTTTAACGTATCAGCTAGTGATATTTATAAATAAAGACAAAAGTACATATATCCTAGGATTTCCCAAAAAAGCGTTGGAACGCTTATTTCCATTGGGGTCCTTAAAATGGATTTACAAATGTATTTCCATCAATAATATACATAATAGCTATCATATTGCTCTTGCATTTTGTTTTGAAAGTGACGTTTCACTTGGATTTTGAACTTAAGCTTGTTTGGTATACTTTTAATATAATTGAAGTATTGATATAACAAAAATGTTTACTATGTGTGCATAAAAGCGATTGATAGATTGGGTATGAACAATCAAATCACGTACGTTTTGATCTTTGGAATTTAAGATTATTCCATTTGTTCTATTCATCATTCTGATAGCAATACACTCCTTGGTTGTGTGAATAGGATCGTTGTTGTTTTAAACAGATGTACTAACTATTTGGTAGTACCAGCTTGTTTAAGTATACTTTCCGCCAATTTTTAGATAGCGAAAAATCCAAACATATTGTCAAAATCGGATTTCTGCCAAAAATGTATAAAATGGGAGCAAAGTTTCAAGAAAATCATAATTTACAAAAGACAAAACAAGCAAGACCATGATGGGTAAGCAACTTATGACTCATCGACACAATCTAAAATGCATGATTAAGTTCAATAATATCAGTTTCTCAAAATGGGTTCGCGACACTGTCGTATCGCTACAGGGAATAGAAAATTTTCTAATGAAATCACGATTTTGACCACAATATTTCCTTAAAGGTAATTCACACTGGATTTCCTGGACCAAGCAGTCAGCAGTCGAAGGGTATTATTGAAACGAGGACGTAAATTTGGTTTAAATACGTTATTAATGTGAAATGTGTATGCCAAGAAAAAATAATCGAACCTTTTCGACTATAGGGGGAAGTGAAACGTAGCAATTACAATCTAGCTATTATCGCTATGTTATGTAGGTAAACACACCACTTCGTTAAAGATACATGAATGTGATATCTTCCCATGAATGCAGTGATAGCATGGTCAACTTGATAACTAATAACTTTGTAATTCTCCATCAATCTCGTGTCTCCTGTTATTTGTGAAGTTGTTATTTACTTTATAACATAAACCATACATTGCCTACTAAGCTATCAAAGTCAATGTCATATTTTATGTGATATCCACACACTTCCTGAACTATGTTATTTCTGAACGTGTTTTAAAATTAAAGCAGTCTAAAAAATAACAGCATTTTTATCATCAATGAACAGCTATAATTGTTTTCTTATACTGAATCTTTTCAAACACGGAAATCGTTCACATCTTAGCCAGCAAATACAAAAGACGCTAGATCTGAACTCACAACGAATGTTTGAGTAGTGAAAAAAATACATATGCATTACTTTGTAACAAAACGACATATCAAAAAACAGATTGAAAGAAGGTTATACTTCTTTGTACCCTTGGTGTCTATTGCAATAGTCTATATTCATTCTAATTAATTTAAACTGCTTTCTAAGTAGGATACCTTTCTAGGTATTACATTTTACTGGTAAAGTTTACATTTTTTCCCCATTAAATACGAATCGCTTTCTTATTTTGTAATATTTGTTAGTAATCGACAACAGTTTTCTGTGTAGTACGCGTCTATAAAAGACCTTTGCTAGCATTGGAAACTCTGTATCTTTTCGCCTGCCGGCTGCCAGTATACTTTATCGAGATAAAGCGCAAATTAACCACCTTTCCCTATGCTTTCGTTACTGGATTTATCTTATCAAGAAATAGAATTAAACCTTAAAGACATTGTCATTAGAACAATACTATTGCCTTTCCGTTTGATGACATGATTATATCAGATTTATTTCTACCACGATGCAGCCAATCTTCTTTCTTTTTACAAAAAATGAACATGATGTCAATCATCAAAGTGAATATCTGATTTCGTTTGCATGACCAAACCAACCAAAGGAACATAGCACTGTTCTGACTAATGACGTATTGTATTTGCTATTTAGTAAACAACATATTTTGTAACAGTATTTCAGTTGTCTGTTTCCATATGCACATTGCATGTATTGCATAATTTCAAAAGTTACCAATGTTTTGTATGATAGATTGATAGATATATAGTATTGTGAAGATTCTTTTCAGCTGTAAGACCATTCTAAATTATAATGCTGACGTATTTGAATTTCAACATTAGCCTGTGTATTTGGTTTAAATGAGTTCGAAGAAGAATTCGATAATTACACATGCATAGACTAAGTGCTGGATAAGAAGATATACACTCACATGCACCAATGGATTACCGCAGAGCATTTTAAAGTCGTTATTGATAGATAGAATGTAGAATAGCATAACACTTGCCAGTGTGTAATATACAATATAGTGGAAACGGACATAATAGACATGCTGTATTGATAATGAAAATGGGAATTAACTGTCAAGTATTTTCTCTATAAATAGCAATCAATAATACAGATTGTAATGATTGAATGACTTACCTAGCTTTTTTGCCATGTCGTCAAATCCTCTCTTTTCCTTCTCCTGCCATTTTCCTACAAAGCCGCTTAAATCCCCCATATTGACACAATTCAAAGTCAAGTGTCCAACTTCAAATAGTGCAGAATACTTCCAAATCTGCGGAAAACGTCGTCTATCCAAACCTTCGCAAGTGGATATTGCAGTAAACTAAGCTTCTCAGAGGAAAATCTAGAAAAGTTCAGAAAAGATTTGTTGTGAGATATGTCGTCTGCTAAACGGGTTGTCACAAAAGCACGTGCAAGTGCCTCGATTTTTGGTTCTGGCAGACGTTGGCTGGTAGATCCCGAGCTGATCAGCTGAGTGTGCTACTGTAAGCAGTCGCTTATATACACAGCCGCGCTCATACTGAGGCAAAGGCGGCGCGCGACGTCCATGGGTCATTGGGTACACACGATATGACTTTCTAGAAATCAAAGTGGTAGGCTAACATGCAAATTGAATAATATCCTATCGCTGCACCTATATCGTCAGTGGATAGAATTCTGCACATGATTCTGCATACCGCCCATTGTTGGATTTACGAGCGTTTGGCACACTTCTCTTCTCGATCACAGTTATGATCCGTTATCAGTTATGACAGGCCCACCGCACGTGCCCGGCAGACGTTTTACCGCGCTATATAAACGGTGTATCACCACAGGGAACACATAATACCTGACATTACTCAGCCATATCGTTACCTGGCCATGATTTCGTTAGTTAGCTTTAATGCTGATTAATCCTGATCAATCTGCCCTGATATCCCCGCCTGGTTTCAACAGAAGTCAGTTATCTAATTCGTAGAATGTCCACAGTATTAAATTCCTCCATTATACGATATTATCGTATCATATCCAATTATAATCAATTTATCCAAAATAATTTCGTGCTAGTTAACCAACTTTTTATCCTCCATAATACCACTATACAATAAACACATTCGGTGGTATTTGATTAGACTAATAGTTCCATTCACTGTAATATAAGGTGTGATATCATTTAATAAAACATTATTTGTTTATGTCAGAGTTAATGGTTTTGTTGCTAAGTTAATTCATTAAATGTGGCAACAACATGCTGAAATGAGTATCATTGTTAAAAATGAAAATTATTATTTGTATGAGATCTTAACAGGATTTTGCAAATAATATTCTTAGGAGAAATCGTATTTCTGCGGTCATATCAGAATTGAATTGACATCTGTCAATTGGCGGTTTTATATTCTTTTTTACTGTCAAGAGATTTTCACCGTTATAGAATCATTTTAGATAGAAAGTAAATATATTGATATATATTTTTTTATATCCTCGTAAAGTATTTGATAATATACGTGTATACACACTTGATCAAACGATCTTACAAACCGAGGTACATAGCAAGATTTTTATCATAAGTTGTTTCGTATGCTAGAAGCAAACATTAATTGCTCATATTTAGTCATACATTTCAGGCATTTGTTAAGATGAAAAGATGCAATTATATGTGTATATTGTAACTTTAAGATTAAAGATGTGTCTGCAGCCGGTTCACTATATGGCTGCTACTGAATTTTAAACAGAAAATATCATTACTGATTTTTTGAGAGATGGTGTAACAAAAGTAATCAATACGCTTAGCCTTCAAGTTTTAAAAATCATCTGAACAGTAAATTAATAGCATGTTATCGGGTGATTCATGGATCAAGTGGTTTGGAACATTTGTTTTATTTTGAAGTGTCATTACTACGACAGTATTAATCATTCATTGTGTCGAAAACAGCAAATTACAGTGTATAAAGGTTATGCATCATTAACTTAAGTCATCATCAAACCTTTAATGGTTTTTAATGTCTCTTTACGTTTGCTAATGTCCATGGTTATAGCCTGCAATTCGTAACATGATAAATATATGAAATGTTTGGAAATTATTCCATCCCGACAAAACAATTTCGTTGATAATTTTAAAGGAACCATTTAAAGTGACTCCGAATTAAATCATGCGTGTCACGTTTATGAACTGCATACACATATGTGCCAGAATTCTATTCATTAACATGTAAAATGCGCAAAAAATTATTAATAACTTGTACCATTAATATATGATTGAAAACTAAATAAACTGTTGTTATTTAATTGTCTTTCTATCCTTTATGACTATATTTTGCGTGCATGATGATAAAACAATTCAACTTTAAGCATTCACAATGAACTACTTTTCTGCAAGTTGTGAATAACAATTGCAATTGGTGCTCCATTGCATGATCGTAGGAGGCGACTAAATTTTGGACGCTTTAATTTCCCTAATGTCTCCAATGATACTGTCTCACATTTGCCATTTAGATAAGCGTTCGCCTTTGGGTCTATCCAATCTTTGAGACACATCAAAGCCCATAAAAAGACAATGACTACACCTTGCTTCACGTTTAGCATTATGATTTTGTAGAGACTGGGTTGCCATTTATTAGCATAATATGATCGGTGACCTACTGGACTTCGCACTCACCTCACATTTATGGTAAGACCATTATCAAATGGCCATAGATGTTGATGGGACATTGAACAATAAACAATGCAAAGCATAAAAGACTACTAAGAATATTAAAAGTATTACGAATTCGTTAATGCCAAAGATGAACATGCTTTTATAAGTAATAGAAAGCTTTTATACAAGTAATAAAATATCAAAATATATGATAGAAATTACCATGAAAATTTACTTCATTGGGTAAAGAACTTCATTTTCTGATGCAAATCAATGTCGCATATTACTTATCCCCACAAGTTGTTTCATCCAAGGTCTTGTATACTGCATTAGATCACACTTCACTGATATCATGACATTTTCTTCATGGACATACTTCTGGACAAACATGGTATTTTCTTTAAGATTATCGGCCATAAATGCGTTCAAAACTGGCAAAGAATACACGGATAGGACTTGATAAATGCCTTATCACTTCTGATACAATATATATGTAACATGTTTTATTTCAATGTACAGGTTCGTTCGTAAATAATCTGTTGTACATTTGTAAAGACGTTTTGGCATTTTATTTAGGGTATTACGTAAAGAACATATATTGTTTTTAACAGCATCAATGTGATTAATAAAAATACTATTAAAATAAAGGATAAAGCTACCAAATGACCACAGCGTTGATGCAAGTAGTTGGAAAAACATTTCTACTCAGATCCAAAATTTTGAATGTCACCTATGTAATCCATTATCCTTACGTTTATTAAGAATTGAAATTTAAATCTTTATCATGCTTTGTCGTAGCCACATAGGTGTAGCAAATAGCATTAATTGTAATGAAATGAATATTATCAACATTGTTTCTTTTCTGTGAGTTATATTTTCGAGAATATATTGAAATTAGATAATAATATCGTGACATTAAATCTAGTGAATCTACTAGCCATTTTATGGATGCTTTAACAAGCATATTTTTTTAGCTTTGAACGTTTGGAAAAAGTTTGAAAATGAATCTATAAAACAAAATCAAACAAACCAAACTAAATAATAATACAGGGATTTTACCATTTTGAACGTGTTCTTTATAAATTTAAACTCTATAAATGAAAATCCTACTATGCCGACATATGTTAATGCAGACTTTAACCAAAATTGTTATTAGAATCAAAGAATAAACAAATACAAGGGTAAAGCATACATAAAAGAAATATTTACATGAAAACCCATGATATAACAGAAAGAAAGGAGAAAAGCGTCCTTTGCTTCATCGACATCACCCACTATGCACATTTTAACCCATCCTAATCGGCAGCCTTCAACAAACTGCATCTTCAGCTGTCGATAGCAAATAGCACGGGGCACGGTTGGTTGGAACGGACACGGCTGAGACTGTATGCACCTCTTATACGATAATGAGGAAATAAAAATGTAACTATTTGGAGTCAGTTTTTAGCAGACAGGTATATCAAAATGTATTTATTGTTAACACATATTAACATTAATAGACATGAAAAATGTTTTTTGCCATTAAAAAGCATGCGAGGAAACTAGCAATCCCCTTTTGTCGTTTTAGGGAATGATAGGAGATGAAATGGGAAGAATTTTAACCTATCGAGTAAATGTGGATTCTTCCCACGATATCCCCAATTTCTGATTCAACATTCAACATACTTATGCCTATTTAGCTTAAAGTACCTGACAAGCAATATATCAATACAAATACGTAATAACCATCCCATTTGATTTAGGAAGAATTAATGACCATCACTTCAGAAAATGTAGCATGTAAGCATGCAATACACAGTGTCTGTTTCCCAATGATTTGTTACCAATGTTTCCCAAAGCGAAAATAAATAATAAGTGCTCTTATTGTGGACATAGCGCTTCTAATATTTTGACATGATATGATTTATGGGAACCATTTCATATCAATTTAAGTTTATAAACATTTAACGCTGTTTTCCATCAAAAGTTTGGAAGTGTTCAAAGATATCTTGTAAATGAACATGACAATACCTAATTCATTTCAACGTCTGAAGAACACCACAATAGTCAAACAAATAGTCAGGATGATAGCGTGCGATGGACCACAACTTAGGGAATGTCTGTGTTACATCAACTATTTCCTGCCGGAGGTTGTTAGAAAAAAAATAATGGCATCCACATACAGTTTGATCTGTACAGATATCGTCAATATGGGGTCATCATACCAGAAAATATTGTATCATTTATATCATTTGTGTGTAACTATCTTTTATGAAAGTCACAGAGGTACCATTAAAGTGCGATGGATGTTTGTTAATGCGAACGCGTACGTGCATGCAAGGTCTTGAGACATCGCAATATGCACCCAATGCCGTTTACATTCTCCAGTGAACAATCCTTTTTGTAAACGCTCACATTCCAAGAACACAATAAATAACCTAACGGACGCGCTGTTAATAAAATATGGCGACAAATTTTAGTAGTTTAAAACAAGAGGAAAATTTGAATAACAATTCTTATGAAATTTGGTTGCTCTTTCTTCAATTTCTGAAAACTTTCCATACTCAAGTTGTTGGGGGTGAAAACGACCGGTGCCTGACACGATTCGAATTAAACTTAGTGAAAACACAACTTCATCATTGATGAAAATCGGAGTTTTGTCAGTTACTGACATATAGCATTACATTTGAATTCAATAAATATTTTGTTAATTTGACAGGGTTTGATTCTATATCGAAAACATCGTAAATTCTCTTAAATCATTTTCTTTTACGTCTTGAAAATATTGCCTTGAACAGGTTGGTAACGAATGACAGCCTTCTGCTACTACCGTTGATAATGTTGGTATTTGTCGGTGACACATTTCAAGGACATTATTTGTTTGTTTCTACTAGCGTTCGTCTAAAGTCGGGTAAGTATTTTCTAAATTCCGCAGGGTTTCGCATCGGCGTAATTTTGTTTCATATCAATTTTATCTTTTCTGATTTCGGGGTTGATGTAAGATTTATGATGACTGAAATACTAATCATATTGTAGAATATAGTATTTTCTGAAGTTTCTATTTTTTCCATTGCCTGGAAATGTGAGATACAATAATGAAATTTGTGATGCATGCATGAATGTCTGACAACACTAACTACATAAAATTGTGATACTCTCTCTTTTTATTTCTTACTTCTATTAACAGAAATAGAAAATGTCTGCAAACGATATAAGCAATGGCTTTGCAATGCTCTTTTTTTAGGTTTTATCATTTTCAGACAATCACATGATTCAGAATCGACTCATACAGATTAGAAGAGTTGTAAATTCAATCAATTCTTGTCGTCTTGCGCGTTGTATAATTAGAACAGAAAGCAAAATCCTTTTTAAATGATAATTTTCTACAGATAACGTTTAATCTTGACTAGACATCTGGAAATAGAATATCTTTCACGTGCATACTGTAATTAAAATACTAAAGTAAGCCATGAGTGACGACTTTTAATTGGTTTCCTTCAATTTCACGAAGTATATATTAGTTTTGAATACAACTGGTTATCAACAACGGTAGATGTATAGCACAAGATTATTCGTCTGTATAGATCATTGGAATTGTAAATAACACCAGACTACAGTTAAGCTCACGTCCACACTTAAAGTCGATATCTTCAGCATTGCAGCGTACGTGCATATGCATATATTGCACATTTAATTACAATACTAAAAGATGAATAGTTTAATTGTCTTTATTTTCTATCTTCCATTGCTGCAAACTTCTTGTTATCAATGTAAAATATTAGCCAGTAATAGGCTTTTAAAGCGTATTACAAAACTTCATATGTTGTTTAACGGAGTGTCGTCTGATTATGTGTCGTCTGTTCCTTTGAAGCTTGGTCTAGGTGAGTTCATGCACCTTATGATATGTGTGTTTATGGTCCTGTCACCTGGTGCTGTCAGTCATCTGTTGAAGTCTGCGGTCTGAACCTGATGACACGGCGATACATAGCTCCCCTTGGGAGATGCTACCGCTTGGACAGGAGCGAAAGAGCTTTTTAAATCATTTAATTTACTGGTGCAATCGCCTGTGTCTGTTACATGTCACAATCGACACAGTATGGATTGATGAGACGCAAAGTCTGTCATAAGGCACCGTGTCCATTTCTAATTATTAATAATCATGTGAAGTAAAGTGGATTTTGATACCAACTAATCGATAAATGGCCTTTGATGTGGTGTTCGACCAATTATAATGTATTACATGTGCAATAGCTGCTCACGTTTTTATATCTTGAAAAAATATGTATGCACGTCAGCACCAATTTTCAATTTGATTTTTTGATGAACATAATGCAAAAATAGTTATGATTTACGGCAATATTCTTAATTGGTTTTTCTATTGAAATAATGTAAAAATGTAATGGGTTACGGCTATATTCTTTTTCTGTTGAAATAGTGTAAAATGTATTGGTTTAGGATAGTATTCTTAATTGGTTTTCTATCAAAATGACTAAAAAGTGTATGTTTAAGGAAGTATTTTTCATTGGTTTTTTTTATTGAAATAATGTAAAATGTGATGGTTTACGGCTATAGTCTTCATTGTTTTTTTTATTGAAATAATGTAAAATGTAATGGTTTACGGCAGTATCTTTAATTAGTTTTGTAAAAATGTAAACGTTTACGTCAGTATTCTTAATTGGTTTTCAATTTAAAAAATGTGGAAACGTAATAGTTTACGGCACTGTATAAGTTATATACTGTTAAGTATTCCTTATACCTAGAAATGAATCATTTAAGGACACCGAGTAAAAGTGATAAAGTATATACTAACCACCATTTAAGGTAAACTATTACCGTTCTAGAATTAAGTGATCAAGTATATACTTACCACCCTTTAAGGTAAATCGTTGCTGTTCTAGGATAAAGGGATAAAGTATATACTTACCACCCTTTAAGGTAAACTATTACTGTTCTAGAATTAAGTGATTAAGTATATACTTACCACCCTTTAAGGTAAATCGTTGCTGTTCTAGGATAACGTGATTAAGTATATAATTAACACCCTTCAAGGAAAGTCGTTGCTGTTCTAGGATTAAGTAATAAAATAAAACTTACCACCCTTTAAGGTAAATCTATGTTGTTTTATGATACGGTGATAAAATATCAGCTTACGACCGTTAAATGTAAATCGTTGCTGTTCTAGGATAAAGTGATCAAGTATATACTTACCACCCTTTAAGGTAAACATGCTGCTCTAGGATTAAGTGATCAAGTATATACTTATCACCAATCTTATATTCCTTTATATTATACCTGTGGAAGGATGCTGCCAGCTATCTCTAAATAGGTATTGTTATCCAGAAAGTTAATACTTTTCATGATTTCATGTATGCATATTGTTTGTGTTGAAAAATTTTTAAAAATACTTAAGTAAATTTAGGAAACTTAAAAAAGGTGTATGTTTATATAAGCTCTGTGTCCATTTCACAGTCGACAGTTTTGGTTTGTTATATAATATAGATAAAGGGATAACCAGATATGATTCAGCTGAATAGGGGATTGATCTCACAAGGAAATTGTGTGAATTTTTACTGACACCGACGAAATTGTCAGTTTTGGTCGACAATTCTTCGCTGAGGGCAAGTAAGAGGAAGTATTGAAAGTTACTTCAAAAGAGGCGAATCTCGTGTCAACCAACACCAATAAATTAGACGCCAGCCATGGTTACATGTCTACTATGAAACAAAACATGAACAGACATATATCGTTTCTGATCAAAACCAGATTTAAGAACTCTTTGAACTTCGTCCCAGAGGTTATGAATAAAAAACATTGGCATGTGGAGTCTTTGCAGGTGTTTGTTTGTGTAAGAAGGTCTATCATATTACTGTTTAACGAATGTGGTTCGCTGTTCTTTGAGACCCTATGTTTCTTTTGCAGGAAGCTGCTATCTGTGGTAATCATCTGAAATATATACATATCTGTGTCATTAGGCAAAATACTTGTCCCCAAAATTCTGTATTAAAGGTGTTGGGCTTTGCGCCTGATGTGCAGTGAGGAAACAAACTGATTATACGGAGGGACCTGAATAAGACACTGGCTGTTCCATGGCCGAGTTAAACAAAGAAGGAGGCAACGAGGAAAAGATTCAAATGATATGTATTGATATGACTTCTTAGGGCAAGCAACTGGATAGAGTAAGGGAAATGGTAAAGTTACAATTTTGGTCCAGCAGTATCGGACATATGACAAAGTAGGTAGATTAATACTATTCCGGATGAAGCGAATGATGCGTATAACTAGACATCTGAGATATTGGAAATACCTAAATGTGATTTCCATCATTAAGATAACGGATATGACTTTGGCCTGGTAAAGCCATCCTGTCGCTCCTGTGTTTGCAGGAAATGGCCAATGTTGTCCGACACTTAAGGTCAGCACTCCCTGATAGATGATAGCTAATGTTTACATTGCTCGTGATTACAAACTACAACCATCGATTTGGGGACCATACTAGTGACATGAGTCACATGATATAAGGATACGGATATCAACACAGATGTCATTTTATCATTATCGATTATTAACATGATTAATAACGGCCACGACACCATCTGAATAGACCCAATATACATAAATTATTGGTATAAATATGAAGTAACAGAGATTGGTTACATACATGTATTGAAAGTTTAAATAGATAATATAAAACGAATGTACAGCACTACACCATAATACTTTTATTATATTAATATTTCTTTCTAAAAAATATATTGGCATTGAAAGGCAAGCATTAGAGGTGTGTCCCTGGAATCCATTAAACCATCATAGTCGATACTGAAGGTTATCATTTTCAAGGGATTTATATTTTCGAAATTGTCGAGGATAGGAAACAATTAATCCATTGAACATTATGGTATATATGTTTTTTCCTTTCTGTATTGACGTTTTGGTATATGGTGTCTGTGTATTGGCTTTGTGGTGTATTTTTTTCCTTTCTGTCTCGGCTTTTTAGTATATTGTGTCTGTGTGTTGACTTTGTGGTATATTCTTTTCCTTTCTGTCTCGGCTTTTTAGTATATTGTATTTGTGTGTTGACTGTATTAAAACTAGTACTTAATGCTTTGATATCTGTTTTATTTGTACGTTTGGTATACATTAATGTGTACAACTTTACTCTGTCTGTACCATATCAAATAATTATTTTATGTCCTTACGCTGTGATATATTTTCTTGTGTGTCTAGACCTTATAACACGTTTGGCCAGTATGTGTGTTGACGTCATGATATATTTCTCTTATGTCTGTATGTTGAGTGAATGAAAATATTTTACAGATATTCAAGTGTTTGTTGATACTGTGTTATATTACTATGTTAACGCTACGATAGATAACCAAGTGTGTGTTAACGCTATGATAGATAACCAAGTGTCTGTTAACGCTATGGTAAATAACCAAGTGTCTGTAAACGCTATGATGGATAACCAAGTGTGTATTAACGCTATGATAGATAACCAAGTGTGTGTTAACGCTATGATAGATAACCAAATGTGTGATAACGCTATGATGGATAACCAAGTGTGTGTTAACGCTATGATAGATAACCAAATGTGTGTTAACGCTATGATAGATAACCAAGTGTGGGTTAACGCTATGATAGATAACCAAGTGTGTGTTAACGCTATGATAGATAACCAAGTGTCTGTTAACGCTATGGTAGATAACCAAGTGTCTGTTAACGCTATGGTAGATAACCAAATGTCTATTAACGCTATGATGGATTATCAAGTGTCTGTTAACGCTATGATAGATAACCAAGTGTGTGTTAACGCTATGATGGATAACCAAGTGTGTGTTAACGTTATGATAGATAACCAAATGTGTGATAACGCTATGATGGATAACCAAGTGTGTGTTAACGCTATGATAGATAACCAAATGTGTGTTAACGCTATGATAGATAACCAAGTGTGGGTTAACGCTATGATAGATAACCAAGTGTGTGTTAACGCTATGATAGATAACCAAGTGTCTGTTAACGCTATGATAGATAACCAAGTGTCTGTTAACGCTATGGTAGATAACCAAGTGTCTGTTAACGCCATGGTAGATAACCAAGTGTGTTTTAGCGCTATGGTAGATAACCAAGTGTGTGTTAACGCTATGGTAGATAACCAAGTGTGTGTTAACGCTATGGTAGATAACCAAGTGTGTGTTAACGCTATGATAGATAACCAAGTGTGTGTTAACGCTATGATGAATATTCTACTGTGTAATCGTTATGACGGACATTCAAGTGTGTGTTGATGCTATGACATAAATTCTACTGTGTTGATTCAATGACAGATAGTCTAATGTGTGAACATTATGAAAGACATTCATGTGTGTGTTGATGCAAGGGCATATATTCTACACTGTTGTTTCTATGACAGATATTCAAGAAGTGTGTGTTGAAAAAACAATGATAGATATTCTACTGTGTTAACGCTGTGATAGACATTCAAGTGCGTATTGAGCCTACGACAGATATTCTACTGTGTTAACGTGATGATAGATATTCTACTGTGTGTTGAAACACTATGACAGATATTCTACTATATTAACGCTCTGATAGATATTCTATTGTGTGTTGAAACACTATGACAGATATTCTATTGTGTTAACATTATGATAGATATTCTACTGTGTGTTGAAACACTATGACAGATATTCTACTATATTAACGCTCTGATAGATATTCTACTGTGTGTTGAAACACTATGACAGATATTCTACTATATTAACGCTCTGATAGATAATCAAGTGTGTTTTGTTGCTATGGAAATAGTCTGCTGTGTTGACGCTATGATGGATATTCCAGTGTGTGTTGATGCAATGACAGATATTCTACTGTGTGTTGACGCTATTAAATATGATCTAATGTAGGTTTTCTGTTCTAACATCTGTAAAACTATATAGAAGCTTATTTAGCCCATGCTGTGTTGTTTCCCCACAATGAAGGCTACTATGGTTGGGATAGATCATTGTTTTTTTCCGCGTAATCATAACACTCTGTGTAATTCTCGACAATGCTAATGGAGTGTCTGAGTGACTAGGATGTTAGACAGCAGACTATAAACAAGTCTATGGACGAGATGATCCCTATCCAACATGCATTCATGTACAAATACTCCACATATCAGACAGGTACTGAAGCCTTCTATATAAATACGGACTTAACAACCTCGTTGTCACTCACATACTAAACACCTATATTATGTAGTAAAGTAACACGTGCTAAACCTCATCCCTAGAGTACACTAATACGCACGTGTTAAACATATTCTCTAAAAAAACCTACACGTACCTTATACTTGACGTGTAATACACAACTACTACATGAACTCTCATCAACATTTTATTGGTAAACAACATCCTTCTCTATCAGCAGGTTACTGAGCGCAAATATTCATTACATATATCAATGAAGCATTTTACATTTGTGACAAGTATACCAAATTTTCCACACTAATGTACTTCTGCATGAAACACGGTACGGATGAAGTGTCTCTTAATTATAAAATAGAACAAAAACACAATTAAAAGAAATTCCGTGGTGTTTTATTCTTGTCTTCTTCTATTTTTACTAATATCATCAAACATCTTATCGCGTTCTACCACACACTTATAATAATTGCTATCCTTCTACCACATACACCAGACAACACGTGCAATGTATCTCAACCAAGAAGAATAAATCTTCACAAGGCGGTATGATAGGTATTTGCATTTGTGAATCTCCCGTTTCCAAATAGCAGCATGCCTGTTTCCTAGATAAAACTAAAAATAGGGAAATTTCAAAAAATAGATATTTATAAGGACTATGATGTCTCCATCACGATCTCAGGTTACCGATCTCTCCAATGGCGTACTATGATATTTGTATAAATGAAGGTTGTAGAATATCATTATTTTTAGAAGTTATCTCTATTTTACCATATATTGTGTTTATTTCCAGTAGCTTAAGGTTTTATAAACCAAACCAGTTTTATTTCCAGACAAAATAGTGTCAGCCAATAAGATCGGCTTACATGTAATGTTATGACTTTGACTTAATCATTTGTAGACCCCTTACAGATATGTATATGTTAATAATCGGTTCAATGAAGTATAGATAACCGAATATGGCAAACATCAGTGATATGAACAGATTTAAAGTAACTCTGGTTAAACGGATTTAAAGTAACTCTGGTTAATTACAAGCCATAAAATGTCATTCGGCAAAAGACATCCTCTCTAGCTCGATCAGTTTAACTGCAGGTCTGGTAAACCACATGTCCAAATTTCGGATAACAGAGGTGTTGTACTAAAACATAACTTCGACAGCATTGATAAGAGTATTTTACGTTTTAAATACTATATAAAACAGATGAAATAGACCTAATACTGTTTAAACAATTAAAATTAACTGACTAGCTATTAAGGAAAGTAACCTTGCTACATGGGAATCACCATCGTTACTCTAAAAGTGTAAAACTCTGCATACCTCTTAAATCAGCAAGTGCTGCGGTGTAGCGGAGGGGTCTCGTTCATGTAGCAATCGTGTATATCTTAACATTTAGAAGAAACATCATTTTCCCATTTTCGTAATTCATGCATTCTTTTCTTCTTAAGTACCTATCAGACGGAAACTACGTCCACACTTTGTAACTCGGATACATTTCTATCATAACCAAAACATCGAACCACTGTAACCAGTTCTGTCATGTAGCAACAGACGTGTAAGGGGTTACACATTGTGCATGTACTAATCACTTTAACATTAAATCTAGATTGCGTTCTACCTAGTTTAGTAGTAATATTGACATTGAATGATAATGCTACTGGATAGTTGATATTTCATACGGTAGAATGAAATCATTTCAAGAAAATTTAAAATAAACAAACAAATTTAAAAACTGGATGGTCTGAATATAAAAAATTAAACAGAAAAAAGTAGATGAATTCTTCTTATTTCGTTAAACTATCATGTATGTTTGAATATGTACTGCCATCAAGTTACTTACATAGTTAGACATGTGCGATAAACAATTGAATTTGAATTTAAATTGGGCAGTCGGCAGGCGGATTTTCACACTGTCTAACAACAATTCTAGATTCCGATCACACCAATAAGTATTGCCACTTGTAACTATTACCGATTTACGGATTTCCATAAACCGTTTTTATTTTTATGATTGTAAACAGACACATTCCCTTGACTAGATAATTTGTAGAACTTTTGATTTGTGAACTATTGTCTGCGTATAAATTGCTCCGAGTGTGACAACGTATACTAATCAGATAGTGTGGGGCGTAAAACATCGAACACGATAACATAACTAGTTTCGCTAAAATGTAAATCATTAAGCCGTGTAATACACAGTGACAGGCGTTCTGATAACACGGTAATGGTCGGCAGTCTCCTGCTGAAACATCTTCAGCCCATATCTACATCTACAGATCACGGACGATAAAAAGCATATTTTATCCTGACTACAGGGGTGTGAATGAGGTTCCATTTAAGGAAAATTACACATTTTAGATCGTTTTACTTTAAAGATATCGTGTGATTGATAATTCCAAATTTGTTAAAAAGACACTTGTTTGGAGTCAAATTATTACTAAGGGTGGTTGGCGCACATACTTAACAAATCGTGCACTTCTTATCGTCGAACAATTCTCACTATTGGCTAAACGTTTCATGGTTTAGATTGGTTTATTGATTCTAGACCCTATATGGCCCCTGTTTGGGTTACAAAATCATGTAGAAACGTATAAAATATTATTGAATAACATAACTCGAACAATTTGATACAGAGAGAGTTGATTTAATTAGGCTGTAGTAAACTGTGCAGTAACTGACATCCATTGATGGTATCGCCAAGCAGCAGAACACGTCATTGGGTTGTATAATACATCGATAGATTTTCAGCTTTCGACAACAGTTTGAATTTCTTTTTTAAAAATGGAAGGTTTTCAAATAATTATAACTGATGATTATCAACGTCATTCTCTAAGTCGAAGACAATTCAAAAATTAATATTTGAACAGACTTTTGAGCACTGTTAATAATACCAAGTACACTCCCATAGAAAAGCTTCATGGTGATCTCTTTTCTCTCGTACAGAAATTAGATTAGCGTTGCGGCACATATACGTAATTGACTCTAACAAACAACCATACAGACCGGCGCTAGTTGCGATCGATTTTTATGCAAATCTGACAGAACCGGAAGTGCAGATTACAAAGCACGCGCCAATTAATCGGGAGATGTAACATTGCACAGATGACATAATGCTGTCCGCATGTCTCTGAGAGAGACGTATTCTCTTTTTGGTAACCAGACAGAACTGATGACGAATTAAGATAAGCATTACCATGATGGAAGTCTGCGTCATGTTCATATACAAAACTTTGTCCATTGAACAATTTGTTGAAACGAAATCCATTTATCTATATTTGTTTGTATTTCAAATTATTATCAGCTTCAATTACGTGACGACAACAAAATATATGGCAAATTTATCCCCAGACCCATCTGTCAGAGTAAAACGAAGGGCAATAATTCTAGTAGATGAGAATGAACATGTTTAGGTACCAAAATATCTGTAAAATACTGCAACTTTTTTCACAACTACACTTTCGATAATTACAGTGGCTAATAAAGCATGATATTTCTTTTTTTCTAAATCAATAGATATGTAACGCTTTTTTCCACTGGATAATTTTCACGATCTAATCCCCAATATACTCATGATTTCTGACGCTTGCCCAAATATGGCGGTCACCTTTCCGGTTGAGGCGAATGATCGGCAAGGACATTCCAGTAAATTATGACGACATACTAGAATGAGTCATCGAAATGTTAAGCGGAGAATACGATAATTACAACTTTTGTGACATGTTCCGATTCACGTCTCCGCTGCAGTCAGTTTGAAGGTAAGCCTTATGTCAAAATGTCGATAAAGACGATATTCGCAATCCAGATATCAATTTTAGTTAATAACATCACAATTAAATGAAATAATATCACACGACATTGCCTCATACCCTAACTGAATAATTCAACATAGAATGGTATAAAAATCCTAACCTCCATTTGAAAAAACCGTTCTGACAACTTCGGATGACTCTCCACAATTCCGACTACTATTGATTAACTATAGTGAACAAGTAACTTTATCACTCAGAAACAGACACGACGAATTCCGGGTATGTACACCAGGAATCAACATAAACAACAATTTAGACTGTTAATCCACACAGAGAAAAATTTAAGTCTTTTC